GCAGAGGCAGGCAGATCTCTGTGAGTTCGAGGCCAGCTGGTCTACAGAGTGAGTTCCTGGATAGCCAAGGCTACACAGAGAAACACTGTCTCAGAAAACAAAACAAACAAACAAAAAAAAGTGGAAAAATCTCAGCAGTTTAGAGTGCTCAATGCTTTTCCAGAGATTCAGGTCGGTTCCCAGCACCCACACAGGGCTGTTCACAATGACCTGTAACTCCAGCTCCAGATCCTATGCCATCTGAAGGCATCTGCGTACATGTGGCACACACACACACACACACACACACACACAGTGATAAATAAAATCTTAGTATATGTGCTGCCGAAGCGAGCACGATAAATAAAATCTTTAAAATAAAACTCCAAAGCCTGGCGGTGGTGGCACACGCCTTTAATCCCAGCACTCGGGAGGCAGAGGCAAGTGGATCTCTGTGAGTTCGAGGCCAGCCTGGGCTACAGAGTGGGTTCCAGGAAAGGTGCAAAGCTACAGAGAAACCCTGTCTCAAAAAACCAAAATAAATAAAACTCCAAGCCCAGAAAACAAAAACAAGCAAACAAAAAACCCAACCAACCAAACAACAGTGAAAAAACAAACAAACAAAACCCAAAACGAACCAAACCCCTCAGTTACTATTATCCAACAATGTTGATGTAGAGTAGGCAGATTCCAAGCCAGACTGCCTGGGTGCAGACCCCAGCTTTGAAGCGTCCAAGATGTAAGATGTCAGACAAGGCCTTTGCTTTCTCTTCTGCTGTTGGAATTGGAAACCATGCTTGTTTCCTGGACTCAGTGTGAGAGTTAAATGGGTTCATATATGCAAAATGTTTGGAAATATACAGTTAAGTCCTTAATTGTTGCTGTCATTCATTAATTCAGCCACGGGATATCTATGGATGTCCTATCAGACGCCAGGGTTGGGGTAGTGTGGAGCTGAGTTAAATTCAGCCTAGACTTTGCCCACTGGAATTTCAACATCTGGCTTTCAAAGGCTACCCTGGCCATTCTCCAGTTTGGGATCTGCTTGGGGCCTGTGAGTGAAGGCAGGGGAGGTGGGGACATGGGACAGAGTGGAGAGCAGAGGTAGCTATCTGTTCTAAACCTCCCCTGCAGGTTCTTCGCTGTTCCTGTCATGGCCCTGATTGCCAATTTTGGGATCCCGAAGTGGGCCCGAGAGAAGATCGTCAATGGCATCCAGCTGGGGATCCACTTGTATGCCCACGGCGTGTTTCTGGTGAGAACGGCGATCCAAGTGGGGTGGGAACTGGAGGCTGAAGGATGTGTGTGGCCTGAATGACCTGTCCTGTTTAGTGCTCTTGACTCATCACTCCTTTATTTTTATTTTTGAGATGGGCTTGCTCTGCGGTCCAGTCTGACTTGCAGCTAGTGATATCCTGCCTCTGATTCTTGTGTGCTGGGATTACAGGCCTGTGACACCACACTTGGTCCCATCTCCCTAGCTTTTATTCCTTAGTTATTAGAAGGCACTGTCTGCTTGCTGGGTAGACTACCATGTCTCCCAGAGCCCTGCCTTCTCTGCGCTTGTCTCCTGGCTTCTTGACACACACCCTCTTTTTTTTGCACCCCCTCATTTCCATTTTTGACTCTGTGTCCAAGGCTTTAACATTTCTGTTTGTGCCATCACTATCCATCCAAAGCAATTGGTCTCTTCCCCCACTTTCTCTCCCTTCCCCATTCACCCAGCTAGATTCGACAGGCTGGGGCTCTCAGGAGCCTAGATTTGAACAGTGTTTACACCAAATCTAAGCATGAGGAAGATCTTCGCCATACCCGTTAGTTAGGTTTTTGTTGTTTTTTTCGAGGCAGGGTTCCTGGAACCAGCTCTGTAGATCAGACTGGCCTCAAATTCACAGAGATTCACCTGCCTCTGCCTCCCAAGTGCTGGGATTAAAGCTGTGCACCACCATCGCCTGACTTATTTTAGTTGTTATTTGTCCTGGTTCACATCCTATCTCCTTTTCTTTTCTTTTCTTTTCTTTTCTTTTCTTTTCTTTTCTTTTCTTTTCTTTTCTTTTCTTTTCTTTTCTTTTCTTTTCTCTCTTTCTTTCTCTCTCTTTCTTTCTTTCTTTCTTTCTTTCTTTCTTTCTTTCTTTCTTTCTTCCTTCCTTCCTTCCTTCCTTCCTTCCTTCCTTCCTTCCTTCCTTTCTTTCTTTCTTTTTTTTAAAGATTTATTTTCAAGACAGGGTTTCTCTGTGTAGTTTTGATGCCTGTCCTGGATCTCACTCTGTAGACCAGGCTGGCCTCAAGCTCACAGAGATCAGCCTGCCTCCCAAGTGCTGGGATTAAAGGTGTGAGCCACCACCGCCTGGTCAGGAGATTTATTTTTTAAGACAGTCTCACTGTCGTTCAGTCTGGCCCCAAGTTTGCCATGATTCTCCTGCCTTGGTCGTCTTTTGAGTATTGAACTTGGGTTCCACATATGTATCACCGTAACTGGCTCACAGTATTAATACATGCACCCATCAACTATGCCCTGTCTCCAACCAGTCTGCTTCTTCTTTCTTTTCTCTATTTTCTTTCCTTTCTTTCCCCATTCCTCTCCCCCAGTCCCTATCCCCTTTTTGAGACAGAATCTTGCTACATAGCCCTGACTGCCCTTGACATCATAACAATCCTCCTGTCTTGGCCTTCTGAGTTCTGTGATTAAAGGCCTTTGCCAGTATACCAGGCTCTAGCCTGATTCTCGATAAAATATCCATATGGATTTTTTTTTGTCTTTCTTGTTCAATTGCCAGACAGCCCAGGAGTCACTCTATGTACTATACAGAAGGTAGGAGCCGAGCCCTGAAAAAGGAGATGAGTTGCCAGGGTTTCATGGCCTTTGGGAGCAGAGTATGCACTCTGAATCCTGTTCTTCTCTGGCAGATAGATCTCATGTGGGGGATAGTGCACAAACAGAAACAGGTATTGTTAAATTTGCTGTGATAGCACATGCCTGTAATCTCAGAACTTGGGAGGCAGAGGCAGGAGGATCAGGAGTTCAAGGTCACCCTCCCACAGAAATATAGCAGAAAAAAATTAAATAGAAAAATATAATTTTTGAGGTTAGCCTGAGCTATATGAGACCTTGTCTCAAAAGAAAAGAAAAAACAAAACAAAACAAACAGGTACTCTTGAATGCTCTAGCTTTAACCCTGGGGACCTACAATCCACAACGCACTCAGCTCCCTGGGAAGGGATCAGGTCTGCCATCCTTCAGCTCACTCACTTTCCTTGGGTGGTGTATCTTGAAGCTCAGCAGGAAGTCAGAAAAGGATAGAAAGAGAAGAAACACTGAGAACCCACATGCAGAAGGCTCTGCACCAGTGGTTTTCATTTCCACCCTCTCATCTTTCCAGATAGGCACTGTAATCTTGGTGGCTGGTGAGGCTCAGGTTGTTTAATCAACATGCCCCAGATCCCACACTTAGCGAGCCAAGGGTAGTGACGCTGGCTCTGAACGCGGGCTGCCGACTGCTCTCCATCCAGCACAGCCTCAGTGTGGACTACAGCGGGAGAGACAGATCTAGAAACATTACCAGTAGTCTGGAAAAATCCAGCCAGTATTGAGAGCTGGGCAATGCTCTAGATTCATCTTGGGATTTATCAGGGAATAGAAAAGTCAAGTTCTGAGCTAACTGTGGTGGTAAATGCTTAAAGTTGAAACACGTGGTGGCCTAGGTAGGAGGATGCTGCATAGACTGTCATTAATTTCTGCCTGTGTGGAGCTGACATTCTAAACAGCCTATTAACTGTTTAGAATGGACATATTCTGAGGTTGGGCATGGTGCTGAACATCTATAATCCAACATTAGAAGGTGGGGGAGATCAGGAGTTTGGGAGGGGCTCAGGAGTTCAAGGTCATCCTTAGCTACATAGCCAGTCTCAGGCCAGCCAGGACTACATGAGACCCTCTCTAAAACAAAACAAAACAAAACAAAACAAAACAAAACAACCAAAAGAACGGTAAAAAAAAATGTTTTCTAATCTTTAATCTGTGCTCTCCGATAAGGTGCCTAGTGAGCACTTAAATTAGGTAAGGTAGTGTAAAGGAGAAACAACTTAAATTTTGATTCAATTTAAGCCACATGTGGCTAGTGGCTATCGCACTGGACAGCACAGGACACTGTCCTTAACCCATCAGTTATGACCTACTAGTCAGGATTATGATGGAGGAAACACTGAGCAAAGTAATTAGAGGTGCGTTCGTTGACGGGAAAGGTCGGAATGCAAGGAGACACCCCACTCCTGGTGCCTAAGGTTCAGGAGGAATGTAGAGAGGTCAAGTGGAGGGCGATCATCTAAGTCTAAACTTTATGTGGCCTGGACACGGCTTCTCTAACCTGTCTTCTTTCTTTCAGATCATGACTCGCCCGTCCGCGGCCAATAAGAACTTCCCATACCACGTGCGAACTTCGCAGATCGCCTCTGCTGGGGTCCCGGGACCCGGAGGGAGCCAATCCGCAGATAAGGCATTCCCGCAGCACGTCTATGGAAACGTGACATTCATCAGCGACTCGGTGCCCAACTTCACGGAGCTCTTCTCCATCCCCCCGCCCACCTCCTCTGTAAGCTCCGCAGCCCCAGCGCCAGAGGAGCTGCTGGCGCCGCCCCTGGAGTACCTGACCCCGCTCCCCGCCCCGCCGCCGCCCCCTGCGCCCTGGCGCCTGAGCCCACCCCTGGCCTTCCGTACTCCCCGCGCCCCAACGCCCCGACTTGACCGTCCCCCGGCGCCTGCACCCACCCTGCCCGACTGGGTCCTGGCGCTATTGCGCACGCCCCCAAGGACGCCCCGCGCCGTGCCCCCGCCGCCCGCCTTCCGAGGCTGGTCCCCATCTCCCCTACCGCCGCCAGAGTTTGCCCCGCGCACCCCGACGCCACCCCTTGAGTACCTGGCCCCGCTGCCCAGGCGCCCAGCTACCCACTCCTTCCCTGACTGACACGTGCGTCCATACTTGGGGTGGTAGGAGTCCTCTAGGGGGAGGGGGACGGGCCTTCGGGGCCGCATTTGCTCCCCCGAGGGTCCCAGACGGCCTCTGACCCTGACCCCCCATCCCAGGCCGGGAAGCAGGTGGAGGAGACAGCGGTGGCGGCGGCAGCGGCCCCGAGGGGCCGCGTGGTGACCATGGCCGAGCTGGGCGCAGCCTCCCCGCCCGCTCCCACTCGGTACCCCAAGGCGGTCGACTCGGGCTGGGATGGCCCGACGCCGTCCTACCAGCCGCTCGTACCCCAGACGGCTGCGCCGCACACCGGCTTCACCGAATACTTCAGCATGCACACGGCCGGGGGCCCTGCACCCCCGGTCTGAGCATCCCTGCCCCGCCTCTGCCCCACGGGCGGCGCACCGGGCCCGGCTGGGCTCCGGAACCCCCTCTCTTTCCCGGCCCAAGGGCTCGGCCATGCCAGGCATCCCCCCGCCCCCGCCCCTCTCACACCCCGCACCCAGGTAGGGTGCGCTGCGTCCCGCCCCTTTCCCTCTTGTGCCAAACGGTCCCGCAGGAGCCGCTCTCCGCGTCCCCTCCCTCAGCCCCTGCCCCGAACGGCTCCGGAATCTGGACTCCCGCTGTTCCGTGATCTCCGCCCCCCTGACCCCCTCCGAGACCTCTGACCCTGCTGGACTCCGGAACACCCGTGACGACCGCCTGGACCCCCAGCCCGTGACTCTCCAGGACCCTGCGACCCACGAGCCACTCTTCGGGGACGGATATTGTGAAGTTGGTCTCTACTTTGAAACCCTCTCTGGGGTTTGTGACCTCGGACCCGTGCTTTGTCCGTCCCTATCTGCATGTCAGGGGCCTTCCCATGGTCCCTGGCAGAAAGACGTTTTCTCTTCTTGCCAAAATAAAAAAGAGGATTCGTTGAGTTTTTATCTGTAACATGGCTTCTTTTCCATCTTAAATTAAAAAAAAAAAAAAAAGACGTGCTTATGAGTGTTTTTTCTTGCATGTATGTCAGTGTACTATGTGCGCACCTTGTGCAGGAGGCCAGGTCATTCTAGTAGAAAAATCTACTGGATCCCCTAGTAGATAGTTGTGAGCCACCATGTGGGTGCTGGGAATGGAACCCAGGTCCTCTGCAAGAGCAACAAGTGTTCTAAACCACTGAGTCATCTCTCCACCTTCTTTTCTGTCTTGATGGTGCTTAGAAACATTTTAAGCCCTACGGGTTTCAGTGTGTCCATCTATGAAACAGCATTTGGGGTCTGGAGGCCCGAGCCTGCATAACTTGATATTTATGTTGATCCTGAATCTGGAGCACAGAAAAATAACCATCTAGCGCAGCTTTCTACCTCTCCTTTATTTTGTTGCCTTCACTTTTCCTATCAGAGATGGAGGCGCCCTCCAGTGGCACAAGCTTTGCTCAGCCACTGACTGGCAAATGTTTTCTTTTGAGGCGATTTGGGGGTTACAATCTTAGCAGTACGCATGCGTAATTCTCTCTGTGCTGGATTCCTGTTCACTGCTGCGTAAGCGGCTGGGAACAGATGGGAGGGAAAGTTTCCGGAAGTCTTCCTCGGAGAAGGGGTGGGGCTAGGCGCTCCATAGTCCTCCCGGGGCCGCTCTTACCCGCAGCTCTGCATCCTCTCGCCTCCTCCTAGCCTGGCCTCCTCGCAGAGGCTGCACGGCTCCCGCCCCCTTGCCCTCTCAGCGGGTCTCCACTCCACCCCCCCCCCCAGGCCTCTCTGGCCCGGGAGTCCCCAAGTCTCTCTGATCTAGCCCATCCGGCTCCTTAGGGAGGCTCGGGTGGGTAAGCAGAAGAGTGAGCCCAAGGGATCCGGACCGGGACCCTGAAGGCAGGCCCCGCCCCCGCCTGGAGGGGTCGCCCCGGGAGTCTCCGGGCCAGGCGGGTCCCGGCCCCGCACCCGCTATGGAGGACCCTGCTGGGCTATAGAGCACGCCGCCTCACTGTCTATACGGTCTGTTTTGGCCTTGCAGCAGCCTGAGTCCAATTGTTGGACACCGTTTATGGGTTCGGCCCCCCTATGGGGGCTCGTGACTCTAAGGGACCCCTACGGTCCCTAGGGGTCGGCCCTATCCACAACGACTCCGTGCCCAAGGCCTTCCGTGGATCTATAGGGCCGGCACCTCGGCTTCAAGAGCCCATCCACAGCGGCCCTTTCCTTGGCCCGGACTGCGTCGCCGGTACATCCCTGGTCTACAAGGCCATGCTACACCTATAAAGGTTGCATCTGCAGGGCTGCACTCCCATAGAGGGTCCTCTCCGGGTCTTCACCGCCCTCCCGTCCCCGGCGGGAGGCGGCGATGGCCTTGGGCCGAGCTCTGGCCGTGGCCCTGGCACTGGCCTTGGCGGTGCCAGGGCCGCTGTCCCTCAGGGTCCTGGCGGGTGACTGCAAGGGGCAGCGGCAGGTGCTACGGGAGGCTCCAGGCTTCGTGACGGATGGTGCGGGCAACTACAGCGTCAATGGCAACTGCGAGTGGCTTATCGAGGGTGAGTGGGGCCGTGTGGGTCACTCACTCGTTTGCTAGTTCATTCATCTGCGCGTTCATTCACTCAGCACATTCCTAGAGCCCAGCTCCCTTCCAGGACCTTTGCTGTAAAATGTTGACCGCACAGGGTTGCAGCCAACCTGGGCCCTAACTCTGATAGGAGGGACTGTGTGAAGAGTCAGATTGACAGTTACAAACCAGGAGTATTAGAGCGGGGTATTTTTCCTCACTTGAAAAACTTGGACTCTAAGTCCTCAGGGTCTAGGCTCTATTTCATACTAGTTTTGTGACTTTGGACAGATTAATTTTGAAAGCTCAGTTTCCTTTACTCCAAGTGGGCATAACATTAGTACTTACCTCTTAAATGAAATGAAAGGAGTCGGGTATTTAACAAGCCCGATGTCAGGGTTCTCTAGAGAAAGAGAACTTATAGAGTGAATCTATATAGAAATAGAGTTTATTAGAATGGCTTACAGGCTGTGGTCCAGCTAGTCCAACAATGGCTGTCTACCAACAGAAGGTCCAAGGACCCTGTCGCTGTACAGTCCATGAGGCTGATGTCTCAGCTGGTCTTTAGTGTATGCCAGAATCCTGTGGGCTCTAATGCCAGGGAAGGAATGGATTTGCTAGTGAAAGCTATAGCAAGCCGGCAAAGAAAGCAAGCTTCCTTCTCCCGTGTCCTCTCTATAGGCTGCCAGCAGAATGGGTGGCCCAGATTGAAGGTGGATCTTCCCACCTCAAAAGATCTGGATTAAAAGTGGGTCTTCACACTTCAAATGGTTTAATTAAGAAAAAAACAATTCTCTTACAGGTGTGCCCAGCCATTTGGGTTTTAGTTAGTTCCAGATATAGTCAAATTGACAACCAAGAACAGCCATCACACATAGTAAACGTTCAGTAAATGCCATTAGGGTTATTGTTGTGTTTGAATACTTCAATAAAACCATCTTTTCAGTCATAATCAGAAATTATATATGCCACCATGACATGGCAGAAGAACAGAGACCTTCTCCCCAGCAATCCTGTGAGGGAGACCAACATATTAACAGTTGACATACCAGAATGCTCCCCTGAGAGAGCCCAGAGGAAGTCCATGAGATGGGAGTGAGGAGAGCAGAGAAGCATTCTGGAAGAGATGTCAGAGTTGAGACCTAAGGGATCTATGTCTATCAGCCAGGAAGTGAGAGGAAGAACATTCTAGAAAGAAGGAACAGCCTGTACAAAGGCCTCTGCCCTGTTCTTATGGGCTTTCAGGGAGTGGGGAGGCCCAGGGAAGACATCTGTCTCAGGGTTCTGGTTGATACAAGGGCATGGATGGGAGGGAACAGGAGCATGGGATGCTTTTGAACAAGTGTGTGTGCTAAAATCTAGTATGCTAAAAACAGGTCCAAGAGGAAGCCAGGGCTGGTGGCAGAGGCAGGGGGCGGGGAGTTGTGAGTTTGAGGCCAGCCTGGGCTACAGATTGAAAATCTTTTTTTTTTAAAAACAATTTATTTATTTTTATTTTCTGTGTAAGAGTGTTTTTGCCTGCATGTATGTCTGTGCACTTTGTGTGTGCCTGGTGCTAAAGGAGGCCAGAAGGACGTCAGATCCACTGGGACTGGAGTTACAGATGGTTGTGAACTACTGTGTGGGTGCTGGGAACTGAACCCTGGTCCTCTGAAATCATCTTTCTAGGCTGCAGACAGAATCTTAAGTATTCCAGGTAGCTTGAACTGGATGGATATGTAGTTGAGGCTGGCCTTGAACTCATCTTCCTGCCTCTACCTCCCTAACTCTGGGATTCAAGGTGTGCACCACCATGCTTTATGTGGTACTTTGGGCTTGACCCCAGGCTTTCATGCATGCTAAGCAAGCACTCTGCTAACTGAGCTACACCCCTAGCCTGAGACCCTGTCATCACCTCTTCTTTCCTCTTCTCCTCCACATGTGCACGAGTATGCAGGTCTGGATAACATGTGCATTGCTTGAATTTTAAAAGGTCTTTAAATAAAAAAACCCGGAACCAGATATTGGGGTAAATGCTGAAAGATCAGAGAGACAAAGGAACAAGCCACGGCCACGTCTTACCTTCCCAACTCCACGAATCCTCTGTGGAAAGCCTCTGAGTCCTCACCTGAAAGGCTCCAGCCGAAAAAGCTTCTAGCTGAAAGGGATGCGTCTGCTGGGGGTCAGAGGGCAACCTCTTGTATCAGTCCTTGCCCCCATCTTGTTTGAGGCAGGATTTCTTGTTCACTGTTGCCTGCCTGGCCCAGGAGCTGCTGGGCATTCTCTTATTTTTGCTCCCCATCTCACTGTAAGTGTGCTGGCGTTGCAGCCATGCACCTCTGCATCCAGCTTGATGTAGATTCTGAGGATCTGGACTTTGGTCTTTTATCGCCTGAGACATCTCCTCAGCTTTGAGGGTTTGGTTTTGTTAACAGGCTCTCATTGTATGGCTCAGGCTGGTCTGGAGTTGGGCATGGAGGGGTGGGCATGTCTGTCAGCACCCAAGGAGACAGTGTTCAGGACTGAGGTAATGGTGGGAATTGGGAGTTTAGTGATTGGGCCTCGGGGAAGGACAGGAATCTGCTGGAAGGTACATAGGAACGGCCACTGAGTACGTACAGGTGTTTACTGGGGAGTAAAAGTGACCAGCCTCTATGAAGACATGAGGGAGGTGGGTATGTCTTAGGATCTGTGTCTAGGTTTGTCTGGTATGTCTGTACAATAGACTGGGAGTTGAGAAGGAGCCAGAGCTGGTTCTTGAATATTACATTGGCAGTTTGGGCATTTCCATGGGGATGCCAGAGAGCTACTGAATGGTTTAGAGCAGGCATTTTTGTTGGCTAGAGCCTGGTTAGAGGAGGACAGACTAGAGGTTTGGTATGTGGAAACAACAGAGTTCTGAAGTAGGGCAGAGGCTAAAGGGGTTGAGTGTGAACCCTGCTGGGAGATGTTTGTGAATTTTCCCTCGTGAGATGGGAGCTAACTGGTTGAATGTGGGGTGTGGGAGGCTTCAGACACCCCTGAGAACCAGCATCTTAGGTAAGAATGTTCGTGTAAGTGTGTAATCTAAGTACTTGAGAGGCTGAGGCCGGGACATCCCAAGTTAGAGACTAGCCTGGGCTATATAGTAGACCCTGTTTCAAAATAACCCCAGAAGTCTAAGTGGATTGGTTGCTTATTGTTTGTAGCCCAAGAGGGCATGAACTGAGAATTCCCCTACCTCAGCCTCCCTAGTGCTGGGATTGTAGGAGTACCATGCCCAGCATACCCACTTTTTTTTTCTTTTTTCAGAGCAGAGGACCAAACCCAGAGCCTTGCTCTTGCTAGGCAAGTGCTGTACCACTAAGCTAAATTCCCAAACCCTCTCATACCCACTTCATATACCATGATTGTATTTTGTCTGGTCTCAGATTTCCCAGCATCCTCT